CATGATATCCTTCTCCAGGGACTGGTACTTCCTGATGATATGTCCAAAGTGTGAGAGCGGAAGTCTCAGCGTCCTGGCTTCTCAGGAGCTGTATTTTGCCATATCAGATTGTTTTGTTCTGGCTGTCCATGGGACAATTAATATTCTTCTCCAGACCATGACTCAAATGCATTCATTCTTCTATGGTCTTCCTTATTCATTGTGTAGCATTCACATGTCTAGCAGCCTTTAGAAAATACCAAGACTTGGGTCAGGTACACTTTAGTCCTAAACTCATATATTTGCTGTTGAACATTTGAAAGAGGTCGTATACAGCAAAATTGCATAATGAAGTGTGGCATTTGATTTCTTGGCTGCTGCTTGCATGAGTGTTGATAGTGGATATATATATATATACTCTTGAGCCATCCTCTGGGATACTGGAAGTGTATGTGGAAGTGAATTATGTAATCTATAAATATTTTGAAATTTTCCAGGTATATTTCTTTCATTCATTTCTATTTTAAATCTGTTATGGTCAGAGAATATTCTTTGTATAAATGCAATTCTTTGAAATTTGTGCAAGTTTTTTTTTTTTTTTTATGGTCCAGAATATATATAATGTAATTATCTCTTAAGTCAAGCTTGTTAAAATGTTGCTTAAGTTTTTTATATCATTACTGATAGTAAGTCTACATTTTCTATCATTTACTGACAAAATCATTATTAAGCCTCCATATATAACAGTGAATTTATGGGTTTTCTTTTTCAAGTCTAACAACTTTTCTTTATGGTTTTTTTGAAGCTGTATTTTTTAAAATACATAAACATTTAGACATGTAATGTTTCTTGGTGATTTTGACTTTTATTTTCATGCTATATCTCTTCCAATGTTCAACTGTCAAAGCATGGTTTACTTAGGTGAAAGTGATATTGAGTAGTAAGTAGTCTGCCTGGAGAAAAGCATCTATTGGAGGAGCAGTGAGATGGGACCTGAGGAAATGAGGCTGGGTCTGCTTGAAGAGGGCTGGCCTGTGGCTTCAAGACCTGAATCCTCAAATTAGGTGTTGTGAGGTGAGCAAGAGAAGTGACTAAAAGAGATGGTAAAGGAACTTTGCAGAGGAGGCTTAGAAGAGGGAAACTAAGGAAGAAAGAACAAATCAGGATGTGTGGAAGTCCCTCGATCCTCTTTTCTTTTCTTTCATCTTATTGCTACTACATCATTTACTTTGTGTGTGTGTGTGTGTGTGTGTGCAAGTTTTTAGTGTGAACTGAGTAATAGTTTACATGGGAGAACATCAGCTTTATACCATCATTTCATTGTAATGATTACAATCTCCTCCATGCTTCATCATTCAACAGCATTTGCTTCCATTCCCCATTTTGTTTTGTTTTGTTTGGGGGTGGTGGAGGATGTACACAAAAACAATCAGGAATATATAATAATTTAAGCAACCATAGGGCACATTCTACAAGCCTGCCTCCTGGCCACCAGCACCCAGTCCCTCTCTTTCCGTGAATCCGGAGTCCTCAGCTGCACCCCCCTCTCCTTGTTTTCATCTCTGTCTCTATGTGTGGTGTTGCTGCTTCTCTGGATGGGATGCCACATTCCACTTGTGGTTTTCTCCTTTGCACATTGTTTACTTTTTTTCGGTATGTAAAATATTTTAGATCATGCAGGGGAAAGAGAGGACAAGGAGAGCCCTAGGCAGTCTGTGCCCAGAGCTGTTAACCTATTTTCCACTTGTCCTTATATTAAATATCTTCAACTATGTCTGTCAGAGCAACTCTTGAGTGAGGAACAGATATGGGGCTGCCGGGCTCTGTGGGCAGACCCAGGTGGGGAGTTAGGGGCTCAATCACTGTGTAAGGATTCTTGAGTGTTTGAAGACAGTTATAGACTGCAGCATCCTCAATATCCAGGCTGCTGAAGGTGAGAGTGAAGTCAGTCCCGGACTCCCTTCCACTGAAATGGTTAAAGCATGGTAAATGAGACCTTTAGGAGCCTGTCAGGTTTATCCTGGTACCAGGAGAAATAATTTTTCCATCAGTGTATAGGACTCTCTGACTGACCTTGCAACTGATGGAGACTCTCTCTCCCAGAGAGACAGCCAGGGATTCTGGTTCCCATGTAAGTGTGATCTGTCCAGTAGAATCGGCAATCACAAATATAAGAAGATAGATACATCCCGAAATGTTCAGCTTTTCTATTCAGACTAGAATGTACTTTCAAGGGACGGCCAGGCCGCAGACATTTATTTCTAGTCACATCCCAACATCCTCACTCTAAGAAAGTGTGTAGATCATTTCTGAAGGGACAATTCTTTTGGAGACATTCTCTCACCTGGAAGACAAAGGAGCAAGAGCCCAAGTATCAGGGCTGGTGACACCATCTTGCTGCTTCTCAGTCTTCTCTTGCAGTTCAGACCCTGTCCCTAGTAACATCCTCTTTTTATCAACCTCTGACCACAGGCTGTGTAGAGGCAGCTGGAAAGATCGATGCAAATCCCCATAAATGCAGAGCTTTTATAATCAAGGGTTGCCTTCATGCTTGGTGCCACTGCCAGCCAGCAAATCCCTTGGGTAATCTTGTCTCACCTCGTCTTATCCCTGGAGACTTACCCTGTGAATCCTGCCCTCTCTCATCAGTACAAGCAGGTGTTTATATTTGGAAGTGCTTCATTTGTTTATAATTCCCCTGAAGGAGACTCTGGTTGTCTCTATGGTTATTGATGTTAAGTGCTGCCCAGTCAGTTCTGACTCATAGTGACCCTGTATAGAGTTTCAAAAGAGCACCTGCTGAGTTTGAACTGCTGATCTTGTGGTTCAAACCACCTAGCAGTCGAGTGCATTAAAAGCATTTAGAAAAACTTAGCTGTTGCTGGAACTGTGGAAAAGGGGCTTGCTATCCCCAGGTGTCTCCTTTGCACCTTAATCTGTGGATGTTTATTGGAGCATCGGCGAGGAGTTGTAGGATAAGTACTGGGTCCCAGGTCAGTTTGAACCACAATCTTGGTGGTTCAAACTCATCAGCCGCTCCTATGAAATCCTATAGAGGGTCACTATGAATCAGAAACAATTCCATGGCATACAACAACAACAAAGGAACAACTGTTGTCCTTAACTGCTCCTCAGTGTTTATGAACTCAGCACCATATAAGGAACCTGGAATCATGAGAGGTAATCAGACAGAAAATAATACCTTCCCTGTTATATGTTAACACACAGCCTGAGGACTAACTCTACTGTCCCTGGATGAAATCTCAGAAAATTGTGCGTCATAAAAAGCAGATAGATCACCTGATCCAAGCTTTGGTCTTTTCAAGTGAAAGCCGAACTAAGAATGAAAATAAAAAGATTGAAGGAGAATCGACATATTGGAATTGTGGTGTTAATGAAGACTATTAAACAAACCGCGTACCTCCAGAAGAACCAGCAAGTCCATCTTGGAGGAAGTCAGCCAGCATCTCTTTAGCAGTGAGGATGGTGAGACTTAATCTTGATTCCTTTGGACACATCATCAGGACAGACCAATTGTTAGAAAAGGGCATCGTGTTTGGAAAATTGTTAAGTGCAGAAGTGACGGAAACCCTCAATAAGACAGATTGACACAATAGGTCAAAAGATATCAAAGATCATAAAGATGGTGCAGGACTGGGCAGTGTTTTGTTCTGTTATAGAAAAGGTTGCCATCAGTTGAAGATGACAATGATATCTGCAGCAACTTAAATAATATCATTGCGTGGACATTTCTTGTTACAAGTCAGTTCTTGGTGCTTGATAACGCTAGGCCTCTGAAACTACACTTGTTTTGTTGTTGTTGCTGTTGCTTTGGGTTCTTCTCTCTTCTCCATGACTAGGTCCACCACAGGCTACTGTGTCTATGGGAGAAGAGTCACATTCTATTTCTTTGGCTTCATCTGACTCCCCCTGGTGGCATCCCTGCCAAGTCTTGTCATCGGTCTTTTCCATGCAGTCATCAATCACCCACCACTCCAGAGACACAAACAAGCCCAGCTTTATGTTTCCCTTTCTCAGACAGGAAGAAAGTGTGCACATACACCTCCAAGTTTCTGAAGACTAGTATCATACTCATTAAGATTTCCCAGAGAGGGAAGATATTGGGATGGTTTGTTCATCAGAAAGAATTTGAAGAAGGGAGAGAAATGAAACTTGAGTTTCCTGTTAACACATTTGCTCAGGACAATGCAAGGTGTTCAGCCACTTCTCACATTTCAGTAAACAATAATATGTACACAAATATCTGTAAAAATAGGGATTGAACAGCACAATTAGGAAATGTGGTCTTGATGTCATTTAAAGAACATTGCATCCAACAAATGGTGAATGCACATTCTTCTTCATCAAACTCATGAAATATTTGATATTCAAATCATATAGGAAGTAACAACTTATAATTAGTTGAAGATTTAACTGTAAAGAATACATTTATATTAATTTGAGAGCACATATAATAAGATATTGAATATGTTGTGATGTCTGATTTTCTTAGTCTTTTATGTATATAATTGAAAGATCCATGAAAAAAGAATTCACTGCAGCCACAATTATTATTTAGAAATGTCTGGAACTATGGCAAGGTATATGTAAATATATGAAGAGGAACAAACATCTAAATGATTGTGTTGGTTTGGGGGTTTAAGATAAATAATGTAAATATCATCAAGAAATTATCTGTATTGTATCGACATAGCATTGCAACTACCAGATATTAAAATATTAAATCACAGGTCTTAAAAACAAGAGTCTCAAAAAAAAGAAGCTTTCCTTTTCTGATGCCTACATAAACAATGACTACCCATAATATGTCTGTGGCATTTCTTACATGGTTTATTTCATCTCTGTTTCAGTGGTAATTTTTGGTAACAGCAGCATAGCTCATAATCTCTTTTATCATCATGTACGTATTGTTGTTACTAACATTTTACTAGTCATATCTAATAATACAATCATGACCCATGGACACACACAGACTACCACCATCACCATCACCACCAATACTCCATAGCTAGGGAAACCATTTCCATTCTTAGCTTCTAGAAGTCACGGTGAAATTGTCCAGGTGATATACCTCTGAGTTTGAAGGCCACTAAAACTCATAAAATATAGCTCAGAATTGTGAACGCTTCTACCAGTTCTGCACAGTGCATTCCTCCTGCCCTCCTTGTTCTCCCTCAGACTTCTGAATGCTCCCCAAAGGAAGCCCTGAAACTTGACAAAATAATCCGTTACAATAAGTCAGTCTGCTAAATTCATATTAACTTCCATGTTTGTAATCCTGACTCACTACATATCAAATGTTATTGTTGTGTTAGCCTTCTACTGCTGTATAACAAGTCAAGTCACCACATACGTACTTCTTTAAAACGACATGACGTTCATTAAGAATCTGATTCTTTGAGTCTGGATCTGGGCATGTTTTAGCTGCATCTTCTCCTTTGAATGCTCAAGACAGCAATCAAGGTGCTTACTGGGTTGCATTGTTATCTGGAGGCTGAAAGAATCTACTTCCAAGCTCTTTCAAGATGTTTTCAGAATGATTTTTATTGTGACTGCATGACCAAGGGTTTTGGTTTATTTGCTGACAATTAACAGGGCAGGACACCACCCTAAGGTTATTGTTCAAGCTAGAAAAGATAGTTTCTCTGGCAAGAGGTTAAGATCCAGTTCATTATACACAGGTCAGCACTCCCAGGCTTGTTCTACAGTGCCACACTGAGACTCCACACTGACCTGTAAATCTTGATGAGGACAGAAAATCTTAGTTTTCTTCTGGAGAGGGGCTGGTGGACTTGAATTGCTGACCTGCCCAGTTCTTATCCGACAGAGACACAAGGGCTTCTTGAGATTCTGCCAATAGAAGGCACTGGTCTCATGCGGTGGAGATGTAACGCAAGTACTGGGTTGTTAACCAAAAAGTTGGTGATTCATACTCACAAACCTACACAGGGTCCCTCTGAGTCAGACCCTCCTTAATGGCACTTAATAACAACTGCAAAGATAGCAAAGACAGGAGCAGAAGAGACAGGAGATCTCTGCTGTGTATATTCCTCTCACTGCCAACCCAGGGAAGCTTTTCACCTTAGCAGCCAGCTGCACTTAGTTCAGTAGCAGTTGGATCTACTTTCCAACTTCTTCGTGTTTCTGGAAAACTATGAACAGACATCATACTTTGATGTTAGGGGTTTTCTTAAGGATGAAACGAAGTATTAACATGGAAATGACACACCAACTCCTGCTTGTTGTTGCTGTTGTCAGGTGCCTGTTGTTGTTGTTGTCAGGTGCCATCGAGTCGGAACTGACTCATAGCGACTCCATGCACAGCAGAACGAAACAATGTCCGATCCTGGGCCAACCTCAATACCAATGCCTCACTTGAGTCCATCAATGATG